GTAATGAATTGCTGCACTGCTGCTTCAGACTGCAAACATGCAGTCTTATAAATAACTTTGCCTGGCTGACCTCCAAAGTTTCATCCAGCTGTAGCTTTGTGACCTTCCAGGACCATGAGTGCTGTGCTCATTACTGAAAGAAAATTGATGTCATTGCTAATAATAAAATGACTGACATACTATATTATTGCTGTGCTTAGAAATTAATCATCGAGGACTGTGCCCTCTATACACCAGAGTCATCAGGGATTATGTTATTTTTCTTGCTGGCTGATGAGCCCTCTGACTCAGCTAAGTGATCTTTTGTTAAACCTGTCTTAGCTTAGCAACCACATACACTAAAGCAATGTACACGGAGCTCTGAAAAGAGCAGCGCTTGGTGTGCAAAGTGTTGTGCTTTTCCAAAACTAAAAACAAAAGAGTAAAAATTGTAAAGAATAGATTAAACAGTGTACTTGTCTACCATATCTTAGCATGCCTGGCTAATCAGCTGCCTACAGGACCTGGATCATGTAAGAGTCTAGGGGACATTTTCCTTTTATTGAGCATCTGAAAAGGGTTATAAAGACCAAAATAACATTTATAACTTTACTTCAAATAATATACTAGCTAGTGAGGATGTTGCTTTAGTTTTTGAGCAGTAAATCTGCCGCTGTTATCACTGTAAACTGCACATGGAGTTGCACCTTTATTTCCTCTCTTCTAAAGCATAACTTTCTTCATATGGAGAAAGATGCACTTTCCATCATGTGTTGTATGCTCAACTCTAAGAGAAAGATGGACAGAGAAGATTGCCGTCTTACCCTATGGTCTTATCTGCCTCTTCAAAGTAAAAACATGTAGCATTTCTTAAAGTTTTTTCTTTCTGTCTGACCAAGTTGGTCAGAAATAGACCAGTCATGTTTTTATTTATAGCTGCTACATCCATCTCCTCAGGCTGATGAGAGGGGAAAAGAGTGTTGGGAATATAATTTGAAGCAGAATGTTATTAGAGCACCTTGTGAGCCCGATGTGTAAAACTGCATTTATGATATGTAAAATGGCATAAATGATTAGGGTGCCACATGCCTGAGTGTTCTCATATGCAAACTGTGTAGTAATTATCTTCCTCATAATTACTACTTGCCAAGAATTTTAATGATCCCTTAGCTGCATAAAGGAGCTGTTTCCAGCTATGATGTTTGGGTTACTGAACAAACAGTGATCAGGATTTCAGGTTTGCAGGAAGTTTCCCAGCATATGAAAATCTACCAAAATCAGTTGGCGATAGTGGTGCAGCTGCACCCTGGGGCCCTTTATACATATACATAATTTTATGCTCACCATATAACGGCACACACACCCACTGTGACCTCATTAGCGACTGTAGGCCTGAGGCTTACAACTGAGAAAAGGTCTAATTGCACAGTTCAGCAACGTTGGCAGCACTCAGAGCGTTTTGGAACAGACTTCAACAAATGGGAATGAGGTGCAAGCTCCTACAGTAATATTCTGCTATTTCTGACCCTTCCTGTCACAGTTATTACTGCCAAGTTAAGCTCACAGTAAGTCACCGAAACTTTTTGGCGCACCAATAAACACAACAAGCTCTCTGGAGTTCACTGAGAGTGAGCAAGCCAAGAAGTTGGATGGATAAGGTTCCTCCACCCACCACAGCCCAACGCAGAGGCTTGACTTGCCAGCTTTAGTGATAACTGGCTGTCACATCAAGTTACACTATGCTAAACTAAGAAGGTGAACAACATTATACCTACTTAATATCAGCATGTTAGCATTGTTGTTTGGACACACTTTCCCATTCAATTTAATTCTATCTCTATTTGTCTCATCAGTGGAGAGGACGCTTCAGTGGACATTTAAGCCATATGCCTGATGTACAACGCAATTTATTCACTAACTCTCTTTCCACTGCACTTTGTTGCTTTCTGCTTTTATCATTCTATCAATGTGCCATTTTTTCCACCTCAGCTAAGTATAAACTATATATGCAACGTTTTGCCCCTTTAAAAAATTTCTGGCATTTCCACTTTTTCTAGCAGGGCTGAAGATTCTTTGTCTGGTCAGGCCACCAGTGCCAGGGTTGTGGCAATATTAATCGACGTGCATGTTTTATTTGAACCAGCCAAACCGGCTTGTTGGAGCCTCTGTGTGACTTCCTTTAGATATTATCATAATACTTGCACCTGGTGATTATTTGTTAAAATAGGTTTCAAAATGCTTAGAGTGTTGACAGTAGTGCTGAACTGTTGAATTATTTCCCAAGCCTGCGGCTTACAGTCACTAATGATGTAGCACTGTGTGGAGCACTGTGCTCTTATTCTGTATTCATACAATGATGTTTTTTTTTTGGAAAAGGGCTGCTCATGCATTTTTTATCAGTGCCCTCTGCAACCGTGTTCACAAAGTCAGTTCAATCAGGGGCGACAGCGCAAGGAAGAAAATGGATGAAAATAAAGATTAACCCCATCAATGAAATCCGTTTATAGGGTAAGGCCCTGTAAATTGCAGTGGTTTCAAAGATCCCACCCTGGGGAGCTATAGATGTGGCCTTGGCACTGTTGGTGGTAGTGCAGTAGACCAGTTGCGATGTCAACAGAGAATGCAGTTTAAATGCCCTTGACAAAACATAACTCAGGAAGTTCAGTGGATAATAGCTGAGCGGGACACCCGACAGATGAGCAAATTAAAATGGTAATTGTCTTCCTGCTTGAGCCTACACTAAAAGCTTTTTTATTTTGTGAAGGTTTTTCATAACAGGATACAAGTTGAGTGTCACATTTTTCACATTAATCTTGCAGCCTTTCTCTTCATCCTTCTCTTTACTAAGTCTGCATGAAACTCAGGGGCTGCTAACTGACCATTTCAAACACTAAAACAGCTACTCTGACTCTGCCCAACAGTAACTAAATTGTGAAATGAACAAATTATATTTTTTTACAGGCACTTTGGCAAGCACATGCTGCATCCAGGAAGTAATGAAACACTCGTTCTCTAAAGTTCAGCACTGCCTTCTGATGTTTTCTTCTAATTCTCAGAAAGAAGAACTTAAGTGCAGTCCCAGTTCCTGTACCAAATGTACAAGTCTTAAAGAATATGCTACATCTTTGAATTTTAATACTTTTTGCATTTCAGTAGTTCTTTTTTCTGACTGGTTTAGGTTTACAATTGCAACTAACTAGTAGTCTGTATGTAAGTGTCAGTGCCATACTGTCTAAATTTCCATCACAAAGAAATCGCCAGAAGACTGGACTGTTGCCTTTAGCTTTAGCAGGGGTAAGCAGTAAGGTGGTGGGGGGGTGCTGAGTGGGAAACATGACTCACAGTTTGTCTTCCACAGGTGCTGAGGAGATGGGAAATCAACGTTTATTGGTTCTCACTGTGTCACTAGTTAATAGTGTGCTGACACAGGCAGGTAGCTCAGAATAGGTGTCTTTAACAGTGGGTGAACTGGCAAAAGAAAAGTGCTGATTCCAGGCAAGATATGGTGCGGCCTGACAGTGTAGCAATAAAAAGACTTCAAGTGACTCCACTGACTTTGTGTCGAGGTCTCAAGGATTTGATGCACATAGGAATTTCTCTCACAAAGCCACTTACACAGCTACAGATAAATAGGCTGAAAGATGCACAGTAAACAGTATCTATTTTCACATTTAAATCTTTTATTTAACCATTTCAATCACTCTGGAACCAGCAGGAAGTTAACTTATCATTACGACCAGAAGCAAGTGGACATTTTTAATCAGTGTTGCTTAGGCTAATTGATAAAATTTTAAAATGATCATCAAGTTAATCGATAATAAAAATAATTGTAAGGTGCAGCTTTAATGTCACAAGGGCTACATATTACCTCAGTAGAACATATTGAATTTCTGCCAGAGTCAGCTTGTCTTCATTAAGCCTTTATTTTAGTGCTGTAGAAAACAACACTGTAGAGAGAGCCTGAGGTGAAGAATTCATTTGCTAGCTGCTCTCGGATACTGTCGCATGTTTATGTGTGTGTGTGTGTGTGTGTGCGCGCATGCATCCACAAGGGCTTCATCTTGAGTGGATGCTGTGTTACTGTTACAAATGATCCTGTGGGAGACTCACTGACAGCCAAACCGTGCAGTTCCTCACGCCTCATCACCACACACACAACACACATACACATCCGGTTGCAGCAGCTGCCCACAGTGATTGAAGCACACTGGTCCCAGGGTAAACTCCCACTGCATATCCTGTCGGCTCAGAGAAAATGTCAATCAGCTTGTCCAAGTCAGCTAAAGAGATGTGTTTGCTACAGCAAAATGAATTTTACTAGCTGTCCTTGTCCTTCACAACATCTGGCAAATATCATTGTTCTTGCCAGGACAATTGCTCTGTTCTAAACTATTATTGATTAGGGAGGAGATTTTGCTGACCATATCTGGCATTTCTCCACAGCTTCCCATCTGAGAACTGCCTAGTACGAACACATTCAGTCTTTGATTCTGGATAGATTTTAGAAAAATCAAATGTGGAGTTCTAGGAAGTTAAGTGAAGGCACTATTAATGCAGTTTCCCTGTCCTACCTACCTGTGCACAGAAATTATTCAGATGCTATTAGAGCATTGGGTGTTGATATAGATTCACATATGTTTTTATTATCAGTGGCCAACTGTCTGAGCTTTGTTCTGCTAAATCTTTAGCACTGGATAGTTGTTTGGTGAGGAATTGTTATTATGTTGGAACCCACAGGTATTTTTTTAATCACTGAGATGTGTTCACACTAAATACATTTGATTTATTGCTTGCTTCCTGGTTATCTCAGAACACTTTTCTTTGTTGCAGTTCAAAGTAAGCTGGAAAACTAATTACAATATGGCAAACAATTCTAAATAATAAAAGTTAAAATAGTAAATTAATAGTCAGGATTTCCAATTAGCATGATATTTCAAGGGCACATTGCCCGACAGGGTCGATAGTACTGCAACAATCCAATCGCTGTTCCTGTGTTAGTAACTGTTAGCTTGCTGCCATCTTGTGGAGTTGTGGAAAAACACAGCTCATAATACATGATTTGTGCGTTGCAAAGGACAAAAGACTAATATTGTCTTAAAATGGCATTATTTCACACAGAGAATGGTGAGTTAATGAAACGCGTTTTCAAAATCCCTATTATCATTATCATCACATCATACATATCATAATCTCAAACGTTATCGGACGTAATCGCTATGTAAACTGGGCATGTATAATTTGTCCCTCGTCATTTCCCGTCGATTTGTTTTGTGAAAGTTAAGGGTTGTGAACGTGCACAGTGACAGGTAAGACAATATGTACTTTTCTTAAAATGTAAGTAACAAATTTATATGCGTACGTCTTTATTCCGTGAACCTTAAGAGGTTGTTAGATATGTTTTTAAGGTGATGTCAAATTAGTAAGCATACAATAGCTTACTGTCTAAAAAGGGAGCGTGTCAAAACAAGATATCAGCTGACTAGTTACATCAGCTAGCCAACTAGTGCTAACGGTAGCAGCTATGGTCAGTTAGCTTTGTTCTTTTTGTTGATCCTGTCATATTTTGTGAAAATCCATATCTGTAAGTCTACGGCAGTTACAGCTTTTAAAGCAAGTGTACAATAGCTTCTACCCTTGTTGCTTTAGTTGCTACCGGAAGCCACATAATTGCACCATATTAGCATGTTACAGTAACTAATAGTTAATTCTAGCTAGCAAGCTTAAACTTGGCTGTAACGTTAGCAGGTCGTTTCAGTTTAAAAGCTGTGTGTCTTATGTTGCAACAGCTAATGTATTTTTTTTATCTAATAGGTTACAAATTAGTAGCAGAAGAAGACCGACCACAATGTCCAGCAGTGTAAGTGACACTGTGTACACCAAAAAATCAGGCAAAAATCGAGCAGTTTATCAGGATATTGTATATCCTCCAAATTACAGGCCCAGCACAAGCTGACTTGTGATTTTCTTTTCTATTATTCATCCATTAGCATGTTTTTAACTTGGCATTTATTATTTTAACATTATGTACACTTTTTCATACTTTCACAGATTTTTCCCCACTTGTAGTGAGCTGTGTGAATCAGTTTTATCATTCAGTTGCCAAATTTACCAGAATATTTTTTGTAATTTGTAAAAGTTGTTCTTACACTAATGTGCATGTTTACCGATAAGCAAGATTAGTACAGTCAGCACACAATATAAAGGAAGGAATAGATTTAGCCAGTGCTGAAGAACTGAATTTATTAATATTGGGTCATTGACTAGTAGCTTTCTAGTTAATGTAGTGTTAGTACCAAAATATACAAGAGTATTTAACTGCTGGAATACAATTGAATTTAAGAAAGTTAAATACTCTACACTTGCATATTACTTGAAGTGTTTCTTGATAATAACAGATGGCCTTGTTCCTGTGCAGGTGCTGTGTGGTCAAGGCAAGCTGTTTTTAACTCAACCTACTTGCCGTCAAGTATTGGGTGCTCTCAGGTTTGGCAGAACCAGAACCTTCTCTGCTGCAAGCTCAGATGAGCCTTACATCACTGTATCTCCCACACACTCAGGTGAATCACATAGTAAATGTATCAGTTACCACTTACTGGCAAAAGAGACCATAGTCTGTCATTCACAGTTAGCTTTGATCTACGTCCAAAGAGAGGGCATCGCTTACATTTTATTTTGTTGTTTTTCTTTTGTTCTGTTTCTAGTCTCTTGAATTGTGCTTCCCAAACAACACATAGAGACAGTATGATGGGTCAAGCATGGAGTCAGACAGCATTGTCAGTGTAATTTTCAACATCAGGCTGAGGGCATATTAAGCAATACAAAACAAAAAACAGCATCAGGCTGAGGGCATATTAAGCAATACCAAACAAAAAATATTCTTATGTCATGTCCCCTCCAGGCCCCAGGACCGTGTGGCCTGATGAGAACATGGGACCATTTGGACCTCAGGACCAGCGTTTTCAGTTACCAGGAAACGTTGGGTTTGACTGCCACCTGGAAGGCATGACAGGCCAAAAGAAGGCTGCAGACCACAGGATTGTCCCTGATGTACTGACGGCTCCAAGCAGCACAGAGAGACACCACTTCATACTGGCCCAGTTTGTCACTGAGTTCCAAGTAAGTTTGTGAACTGGTTTTGTTTGAACAGGGCTAGAGCTGCCATTGAGGACACTGAGGTTATGTCTTTATTTTAAAATTATTGTTAGCATTATGATTAATTCATTTATTTGAGAATTTCAGTTTAAGCACAGTTTATGCTATAGTTCTTACAAATAAAAAACTGTAGTAAATTAAAGCAACACTAACAATTAACACATGCATTCAGTGAAACATCAGCAATGCATATAAGGATATTTTACAGTAGCTTGCTCAGTAGACTGCATTTGGCACAGATGATCCCTTATATATGTTTTTAATAGCCAGAGGTGTCCAGTACTGTTGTCTTCTTCAAATTTAGGATAAAGGGAGTGTTCATTGTCAATAATGAGCTGAGTTTTCCTGTACACATTGTAATAAGAGCTGAACTCAAATTCATAAATATTTTCTGTGGGCAGGCACTTGCCTGCTGTAAATGACTTGCAACTGTATTAACCAAGGTTAGTGTTGCATCCTCCATGCCTCTGTGTGGTTTATAAGAAAATTGTAGAGGGTCTAGCTGATCCAACATGGCTAAGGTTTACTAACTACCCTCTCCATGCACTTGTTCCATAAAGAGGTCAGGGCAACTGGATGAAAGTCATTAAGGGCTTTGGGCAGTGGGTTAATGATAGATGTTGTCCATGTATTTGGAATTGTGCATGTATTTAATAGGAGTTGGAATAATGTGGTCAGGACACCCTTAAGCTGTACTGTATACACCTTCATGACATGTGCAGTCTGGCCCAGGTGCTTTATGTGGTTTAATATGTGACAGACAGTTACCAACCAATTGAAATGTGTGCTTGTGTGCATTTATCAGGGAAAACTGGGTCCTATATCCACAAGAGTTCACAAAGCGGAGCAGTACTTCAATCAGACAGACACAAACTGCTCCATAAATTCCTGCCCTGAGCTGTTAAGGAAAGGTAAGTGAAGGTTATAAAACATTAATGCATGTCAGCAAAATGATCTTAAACAGTGACTCTTCATAATCTGAAGCTCAAGAAAATTGTATAATCTGTTAGTAGCATTCAGTTGCCTTTAGTAACTAAAGTGTTCATGTGTGTCAGATCTGGAGCTACTGTTCCCCGCCGCACCCTCCCCTTCCATCACAGTTGTGACAGTCACACAAAGGAACAACGGATGTGAGGAGACAGCAGAGCTGCTTCACAGAGTGAGTCTGTTTTAATAATAAAAGCTTGGCAATATGAGCAACATAGAGTTGAAACAGCTGCTGACTCTGCTTCTAACTGCAGTTTGTGAAAGGTGCAAAGGAGATATGTTTCGCTCTGTGGACTGCAGGATACTGGGCAGACTTCATTGACCCAACAACAGGCACAGCTGTGAGTTCACCTCTGTGTTTAGCACTGATTTCTTGTACTAGCTATGTAATAACAGAAAATACCAGGGAATGCTACTTCTGGTATTTAAGGTAATGGTCACAAAGAGTAAATACGTTGATATCCTTGAGAAGCATAGGGGAGACCTGGGTTGAAAGTACCACTTTTTACTTTTACTCTGGTTGTGTGAGGATGAATGCATCTTCTCTTATCACAATTCATTTGAGGACACCTACCAAAATCCACAGAAATTTTTGTGAACAAGTGTACCACCCTGAAGTAATCTTGCGTTAAATACAAGTTGCACAATTGTACTTTTGTCCCTACTGGTCGGGTCAAAAGTACAGTGATTGCAGGTCGAAAGTACCGCATGTCAAAAAGCTCAGAAATCACAAGGTAAACATATATTTTTGTTATGCAGATGTGTGTAAGGATTGTAATGATCCTCCATGCTACATTTCTAATCATATAACCTTGTCTTGGCCAAGCCATACACACTTAACATGATGATCATTTTATTGTTTATGCTAGGCTATAGAAGTGACAAACAACACAAGTGTATTTTTAATGTTCTAGTAAAATATTCTGTCTTCAAAAATCCCCTACTGTAAAAAAGCAGGCATTAATGGCATTATCAAATAACCACTTTACTGGTCTTTCATTGTCAATTCTTATTTGATTCGCCAGTTAATTCTAGTCACATAAACTACCTTCAGTTAGGACAGAAGGAATTCTTACGGACTTTAAAATGATTAATTCCCAGGAAATAATCACTCTTTAATGATTCCCAGGATTTGTAATGACTAATAAAGTTACATTTTTAAAACTGCTTATAATAATATAAGTAGGTTTATTCAAAATTTCATATTTCATTTTGTTGTATTTATTAGATTATGTGGTAATATTTTAATAGAACCATGATTCTTCTTAGCGCGGTGGTTAGCGATGTTGCCTCACAGCGAGAAGGTTCCGGGTTCGCAACCTTTCTGTGCGGAGCTTGCATGTTCTCCCCATGTTTACGTGGGTTCTCTCCGGGTACTCCGGCTTCCTCCCACTGTCCAAAGAAGTGTGGCTTAGGTTGATTGGTGACTCTAAATTGCCTGTGGGAGTGAACGTGTGTGTGTGTGTGTGTGTGTGTGTGGTTGTTCGTCTGCGTGTTGGCCCTGTGATGGACTGGCAACCTGTCCTGTGTGTACCCTGCCTTCACCTGATTGCTGGCTGGGATTGGCTCCCGTGACCCTGTTTGGGACTGAGCGGCATAGAAGATGAATGAATCTAAAATTTAGTTGTAGAAATGTTTCATATCATTTCATTGTCTACATATATAGCATAAATGATAAAATACTAACATTGCTGCTGAAAACATAGAACAATTTTTTTATTAATAAAAGATCACGGTATGATTTTAAAACAGCTAGAACAGCAACACTGTTGACAGTCGAAGTGCAGGTAACCTGTCACAGAGTCCACTATACAGGTTTTAGTGTGCTTTATTTTATTAGTCTAATGCTAATCAGCAGTGTTGTTATGATCCTGTAGGTGGAAGCTGTCAAACAATCAGGAGCAAGTACTGTACTACAGATGGCCATTTGACAGCAATGTCCAGTTGTTTAATAGAGGACACATACTGGGGGTCATCAGCAAAGGCACATCTGGATGGACCAGCGACCTGTCCAGGGTATACCCCGCCTTTCGCCCGATGCTGGCTGTGATTAGCTCCCCGCGGCCCCGTTCGGGACTACGCAGTATAGAAAGTGAGATGAAATGATGATTCTTAAAAGTTGATCCTCTGATCAGCATAGACGTCTCAGAACCACTTGTGTTTGTGGTGCAGCATCGCTCAGCTGCCACTTTGGTGGTTTTGTTAACAAGAGTAAATGCACAGAAATAAGCCAGTAATGGTTAAAATGTAAAAGCCAGTAGATGCAATTAAATCTGCTTCAAAAATGAACTTTTAATGTGAATAAAGAAGAAATGTTGGTCAGTCAGCCTTCATCCATCTAGGGAGATCAGCACTGTCGAAAAAATTTACTTAAGCAGATGTATCATTCTTCTCAACTTCTGTTCTCCAACAGTTCTTTGCCTCTCCAGCGAGTCAAAGCACACTGCGAACAGAGGAGGAGTTGAGACATTTGGGATTTCACATCGAGGTGTCAGGCTACTGCACAGTTATTCGCCACATCCTCAAAGGATCATCGTTGTTTGTGGGGACTGTTTTCACCAACGCACCTACTCACAGTGATGCCATCGCCAGACTGCAAGGACTCTCATATGTACTCGCTGATGAGGAATAGGTCATTTGATATTATATACACAAGTGAATACATACACAAAGCCTTTATTTATTGTTAGCTATTCAGCAGCTAATGTGCGCAAGTGGTTGTATCAGTGAAAGATTGTGTGGAGTTTCTTACTGGAACACAGCAGCTACATGGATTTTAGCAACATTACAAACTTGACTGGACTAACGCAGACCCTGGTGCTGTGGCAGACTGACAGGCCATCTTTAAACCCAGCTTAACCTCCACTATATCCAGGGAGAAACACACTGAACAATGGGAATTTCATGTTGGTGGCACATGGTCATGTTTTAAAGGATGACATCAACAGTGTTTTATGATATTAGAAGCATGGATATGAAATGGAAACCCTTCAGCCAACAGTTTTTTACTCGTGAAAAGATCCATATTTAAACACAGATTTTATTTGCTCAAAACTTTGGACACTTAGATATACAGTGTTGTTTTCCCCTGATCTGTTGCACAGAATCTAAAGACATTTGTACTGTATACTGTTTCAGCTGAAGCACTACAGCTCGTCTGTCAGAACTGCTGGACTAATAAAGTGACCTCATTGGGCTGCAATGATGCTGTATTCCCAGTAACCTACTGTGTGATTCTTCACAGAAATGTTTCCTAAATTAAGTTATTCAGATTAAGAGTTACAGCTGTCCCTGGTAGGCTAGTGGTTAAGGCGCAGTGCTCTCGCCCCTGTGGCCTGGGTTCGAATCAGGGTTGCGTCAGGAAGGGCATCCGACGTAAAACACGTGCCAAATATCAACATGCGAGTCGTCAGTGTGACGATTCGCTGGTGTGACCCCTAAACGGGAAAAGCCGAAAGTGACTTTCTTTCTATTCAGATTAAGAGTTACCTCTGGTTCTATATTATGAAATATACAACAAAATAAAGGTTTGTGCACTGGTTTAAATACAATAATCTAATTATACTGTTATCAAGATAATGTAGTTCTGAATTGACAAATCATGAAAACACTTTAAAAAAAATACCTGGATGAGAATTAACAGGATTCTTTCCGGCTGACTGCCACATTTGAACAATACTAGTACACACACAAACTTATCTTATCCATGTATTTCTTGTGAGGACGTGGTTATCTTATTTAACAGTAGAATTCAGTCAAGCGGTGGATGCAGAAGGAAAAGTATTTCAAATGCCATTTGCAGACCATCTCTTATTGCAAATACATTTTTATTGTTGCCAAATTACCAATTGCATTAAAGAAAGTCACTTTCGGCTTTTCCCATTTAGGGGTCGCAGCGAATCGTCACACTGACGACTCACATGTTGACATTTGGCACGTGTTTTACGCCGGATGCCCTTCCTGATGTAACACTGATTCGAATTGCATTAATTAATATATTTCATTAATAAATTTGTACTGTGTGGAGCTAATTTTGAATTTAAAATACCTGATCTAAGCTTCAATTCAGCTTTATTTGTATAGTACTAAATTATAGCAAAAGTCATCTTAGTGCACTTTACATAGTAAGGTCTAGACATTATAATAATAATTATTATTATTATTATTTAGAAAAACCAAACGAGTCCCCCCTGAGCAGCACTTGGTCACAGTGGGGAGGAAAAACTCTCTTTAACAGAAGAAACCTCCAACAGACAGAGGAGAGAGAAAAGCAAAGCAACAAGACACAACAGAAAAATGGTAGTAAAAGGCCAGGTTTTCTGTATATTCAGACCTCAAGTTAAAACAGTTCATTGCATCCATCCTGACATCCAACTTTCCGGACAGTTTCTGAGACATCCTGATGCAGTTAATTGAATCAAACTGAGCAGAAGAAAGTAAACCCAAATCCCAGGGGCCTATTCCAGAAAGCAGGAACTCTGAAGGTAACCCTGAATTATGAGCAGTGTTGCATGTAACTAGTTACTGTAAATAAATTATAAAATGAATCTAATTGTTGTCAGTTACAGCTACTGAGAAAAAATATGCAATTAAATTAGTTACTAGTCAAAATGTTGATTACAAAGGAGTTAGATCCAAATATATTTTTTCAGTAAAAAGCTTATATGTATGAAGCACATTCAATCTTTGTTTTGTATCTTTTCGCCCTTCTTTTGGCATATTAGGTCAGCAAAGCCGTTAGGACAAATAACACCATCAAGGGCCGGATGGCTAACAAGGAGCTGACTCTATGTCTAGATAGGCTCCATTCATTTGGCAGAGCGTATTAAATTTTTAACAAAGCTTTTGATTGGTTCTCTGGTCAGTCACTGTGGTAACAGATAAAGTGATCCCCATTTCTGGAACTGAAAACCCAGTTTCCCTCAACTCAGGGTAAGGTGATTGAATTGCCACTAAACCTGCTTTCTGAACCAAAAAGTGTCCTTCTGTTCAGTTGTATTTGATCATGCACTACAGATGCTGCTGCTGATGATGATGTAGCTCAGCACTGCAGGATGAAGCCCCTTGCTCGAGCTGACCAGAGATGAAGTTGAAGAGAAAACCGCGTTGCTCTCATTCCTCGGCACCGACATGTTACAGATGTTCCCCTCACAGCAGGATGAGCACACCTGGCAGGTGAAATATAGCTGCTGAGAAGATGGTGAATTGAATCTGTTTTTCATAAAATGACTATCAGGTTGTAGATGGTAAAAGGCCCCACATACAGTACCTGATGGCCATTATCAGTGACATCTGCACAGCCGGTAAACACACAGTCCTCCAGGGTCGCACAGCGCTTGGTCACAGACACACTGTCTCCATGGTTATCCATCAGGTGAAGAGTGTAACAATATCTGGTATCTGGAAGACATGGCACAGCTTAACATCTGGGTGGTTTTAGGACCTCCACATCACACTCTCCTTCATATAAGATTGTAGAGTTTGATGCCCAAAAAGTCTCTTTTGATAGTCAATAATCCGCTGCGTCTGATCCATACCTGTTCAAAAACAGCACTAAATATGTTTATATAGAAGATGCACCATAGGATCATGAGCACAACTTTAGGTCTCTACACATTTCATTAACAATTTAACAGTTTCGCATTTACAGCCCTTCTATCAGTATTTTTAGATGATCGGGAAAAGCTTCTGATTAAAGTCAACAAAGCCTCACAATTTAATATTCATTTATATATCCAAAGAAGGAGGGCCACTTGTTGTAGTCTCTCCGTACACATAGGACTACATGAGAGGAAGCTGGCGTACCTCTTGGACAGTACATGTCTGGTGCCCAGCGGTTACACTCATAGTTATCTGCAGCGCTTTGACACGTGAAGCACTTGAAGGCACCAGGATGAGGTGTAGCTGCGGAGGACAGACACACTTCATTATAACTGAGCTTGTTGACATTCATGATCTGATTATATTGTCAGATTTGTTAGGCATCATAATTAAACTTGATTCTTTTGAACCTTTCTGACCTGTTAGGCAAAACATGAGCTTATGGGAAAATGCATTTCCTGAAGTAAATGTATGTGCATTGCTAACAAGTTGCTTGCCACTGAAAAGTTACTGCATGACAGTGCTATATTACACACCTCAATAAAACCCTTAAGAAGCTCTAGATCAAGTTCATTTAATGTTAAGTTTCCTCCTGCTCTGTGATTTGTGATAACAAACTGGTTTAAAACAGTCGAACTCATGTTTCTCATATAACTCTCTTTTTAAAAGGCTGAGCAGGCATTTCTGCAATGTCACTATAAAACAGCACCTGTCCTAACTCTCATCAGACTGAGATGGAGGTTGATGTCACTGGACTGCAGGTAGGTCAGATCTCTCCCAGTATTTCGCCCCTTTCTTTTTTATTTTTTAACCCTGTTTTATTTACTCTAAAAAGCCAAGAACTGATTGATGCCCTCAGCCTTCGCTGTGCTTCTCTTACTCCCCTATAGGCCTGCCCTGTTTTTCCGGGGCAGAAGGTCTGGCTGTCCACCTGCAATCACCCCCTGAGAGTCAAGCCTCACAAGCTGGTGTCTTGATTTCTGGAGCCCATCCTCATGTTCAAAGTGTTCAGTCCCCGTGAGCATGTGGAGCCACCACACTGTCCAGGTCTCCTGTGTCAAGTCTGTTATGGTGAGTCTACTGTTGTAGCTGCTGTGCATTGTTTACAGATGAGTGCTGAATGTGGTTAAGCTGTACCTCTGCACATTTGTGCATGTTCTGGACCTGTAAGTGTGGCATGTAGCTTCATTTTGCCCCAGGGCCTTCAGACAGGTACACACAGAACAGGAGCTGTACACACCAGCCAGTGCATGTGAAGCAGCTAGTGTATCAACTCTGTGGCATGTTTCATTAGTGCAACTCCTCGATAGCACTCTCGTTTTCTTTGTTCTTTAGCAGTGTGATTGCTGATTGAGTAATCACACTATAAAAGAAAGGCAATACACCTGAAGCTTGCTGGCATGATGCAATGACTGCGTCTTTTTTTTGTTTTGTTTTTGGAAAACCAAGCCCACATTTTGGGACAATACCAAAACACTGTTTAGCATTCTAATGACCCACATATATTGGATGTTGTCATAGATGTTGTCAAGTCCCAGACAGACAACAGACATCGGACTACTAAGCTGCTCTGATACCCTGATCAAATAAGGGGTTGTTTGATTTTCCCATTGACAAGAGTCATATCTGTACTGGGAATGAGGCTGTGTTTCATCTGCAACAGCTGCAGGTCTCAGGGTCAGCCACTTTTCAATCACAGGACAAAGACTTTTACTCACTAGACAGTGACACATTACACAAACAGTATTAATATGCTCCTACTTGAGGGATGCAGCAGGACGATGTCCTTCATGGTGAACTCCCGTGACTGGATGGTTTTCAGCCAATCAGCAATGATGGTTAGCAGCAGGACCCAGGCCACTGTTGGCCAGGCCTCCATCACTGGCCCCAAGTATTTTCATGCACCTAGGCCTCTCAAACTCTGAGGGAATGAGGCAGACAAGGGGACATAATCAGGCAATAATTTTAGCAAAATGTGTCAGTGAATTCATGCGTCTGCTAGAGCTTGTGACAAAAACTTGGCAAATGTTACTCTACACCTTTCTCATTCTGTGCTTTGATAGATAGATGCTTATATGAAATGTACAAAAAAAATGTCATTAAATCATAGGTTCAGTAAACAAAATACCATAACAAGAGGATTATATTAGAGGAAATCGGTTGATAAAAGTGATCAGCTGTGTGTGCTGCTCATGCTGTGGACTTGCTTCATTATTAAAATGTCTAAAGGACCCCTACCCCTCTAGTCAAAAGCTTTAATTCTCAGCATCCACCTGGATTGAATAATTACCTTTAATATAAACTTACAGTGCCTTGCGAAAGTATTCGGCCCCCTTGAACTTTGCGACCTTTTGCCACATTTCAGGCTTCAAACATAAAGATATAAAACTGTAATTTTTTGTGAAGAATCAACAACAAGTGGGACACAATCATGAAGTGGAACGAAATTTATTGGATATGTCAAACTTTTTTAACAAATAAAAAACTAAAAAATTGGGCGTGCAAAATTATTCAGCCCCCTTAAGTTAATACTTTGTAGCGCCACCTTTTGCTGCGATTACAGCTGTAAGTCGCTTGGGGTATGTCTCTAACAGTTTTGCACATCAAGAGACTGAAATTTTTGCCCATTCCTCCTGCAAAACAGCTCGAGCTCAGTGAGATTGGATGGAGAGCGTTTGTGAACAGCAGTTTTCAGTTCTTTCCAAAGATTCTCGATTGGATTCAGGTCTGGACTTTGACTTGGCCATTCTAACACCTGGATATGTTTATTTGTGAACCATTCCATTGTAGATTTTGCTTTATGTTTTGGATCATTGTCTTGTTGGAAGACAAATCTCCGTCCCAGTCTCAGGTCTTTTGCAGACTCCATCAGGTTTCCTTCCAAAATGGTCCTGTATTTGGCTCCATCCATCTTCCCATCAATTCTAACCATCTTCCCTGTCCCTGCTGAAGAAAAGCAGGCCCAAACCATGATGCTGCCACCACCATGTTTGACAATGGGGATGGTGTGTTCAGGGTGATGAGCTGTGTTGCTTTTACGCCAAACATAACGTTTTGCTGAACACACCATCCCCATTGTCAAACATGGTGGTGGCAGCATCATGGTTTGGGCCTGCTTTTCTTCAGCAGGGGCAGGGAAGATGGTTAAAATTGATGGGAAGATGGATGGAGCCAAATACAGGACCATTTTGGAAGGAAACCTGATGGAGTCTGCAACAGACCTGAGACTGGGACGGAGATTTGTCTTCCAACAAGACAATGATCCAAAACATAAAGCAAAATCTACAATGGAATGGTTCACAAATAAACATATCCAGGTGTTAGAATGGCCAAGTCAAAGTCCAGACCTGAATCCAATTGAGAATCTGTGGAAAGAACTGAAAACTGCTGTTCACAAACGCTCTCTATCCAACCTCACTGAGCTCGAGCTGTTTTGCAAGGAGGAATGGGCAAAAATTTCCGTCTCTCGATGTGCAAAACTGATAGAGACATACCCCAAGTGACTTACAGCTGTAATCGCAGCAAAAGGTGGCGCTACAAAGTATTAACTTAAGGGGGCTGAATAATTTTGCACGCCCAATTTTTCAGTTTTTTATTTGTTAAAAAAGTTTGACATATCCAATAAATTTCGTTCCACTTCATGATTGTGTCCCACTTGTTGTTGATTCTTCGCAAAAAATTACAGTTTTATATCTTTATGTTTGAAGCCTGAAATGTGGCAAAAGGTCGCAAAGTTCAAGGGGGCCGAATACTTTCGCAAGGCACTGTAAGTAGTGTTTTACATCCTGTTTTGCCCTGAGGGAATTGAATCAGTAGTCCCTGCTTGTCAAATGTAACTTTTTCTGTCATGCAATAGGTAGTTTTGTTGTTATATTGTTATTATGCTATATACTTCTTATTATAGGATAGGATACTTGTTCTGTTAACATTGAGATATCCAAGTTCCCTTGGTGTATAAAGATCTAAAGCATCCTTTGATGGATGCACAGTTGAGCTTTCAGTTACAGTGCAGGCAGGACACTCTACCAAATGCTCCTCATGGATTCACTGAGATGTCAGCCACTGGATTAAATACCAGATGACCTGGTTTTGCCCTTGAACTGAGATCAGTAGTGCTGTCTAAGAAAAGCTCTGAGTTCAGATGCCTTTATCTTATTCACTGTATCCCCAGGCGCCGTGCTGGCTCTGTGGTTATAAATACTTGTTTTCTTTGCATTATACATGCCCCAAATAAAACTGATCCACATTTTTGTTGCAGACGGAATAACCATACTGTACATTCAGCAACAAGAGCACTGCAGACTCTTACTCTTGGCAACAAAGGCTCAGATTCAAGTCAAATAAGCAAATACAATCCAATTGAGCCTGTTGGTATTTTGCTGTAAAGAAAAATACACAGTAACTGTATGAATCAGTTATAATATGTCAGTCCAAAATCACTTTGAATACACTGAAAATGAATTACTCATGCATGTTTTGAGTGAAAATTCCAACTTTTGCTAACTGAAAACTAAAGTAGAAAGTTGCTTAACTCTGAGAATCGAATCCATGCTGGTGTGTTTAAATAGGTTTTTAATCTGCTGTATTAAAGTAACAAAATAATCCTCTAGATTTAATGAACTAATGAACAGAAACAAAAAAGTCTCAAACTAAATATTGTGCCTTTGACATAACACTGTTAGCTTTGCTGTTGTGCTCAGCATCAGTTCTAATATTTAAACCTCGCTAACAATACAAATGTAAAGTTTTTGAAACGCACCTTAATTACACAAGACATTATTTGGAAGAATTCATGCAGTCTATGGACTAGCATTCATTAAGCTCCTCAGAGCACTAGTACTACAGTACAGCAGATAATGAAAGTTAAGATTAGCTCTCCAACTCTGAGCTGTCTGATAGATGCCCAGCCTTGTCTGGAGTAAAATTTGGCTCAAGTGTGAGGAGTGCGGGGATTAGGTACAATAGCTCCCTGTTACCACTGGAGAAGGATGGAGGTGGAGAGGGTTTATATCAGTCAGGGTTCAATCAACGCCAAGCAACTCCTTCAGGGTCCAGTTAAAAAGGCCATGAAGGGATTCAACTGTTACAGTGCTATAATTAGTGACATACTGCAGGATCCATCCACAGTGTTGTACAACATTATCCAAAAAGTAGTTCTTACTGTGATTTCAGGCATGGTACTGATAGCCATCGGAGCAAAACCTTTGTTCTGTGTTCTCTCATTCAGATAATGGTTAAAAAAAAACACATAAATCATTTAAAATACATACCTGTAGTGACCTCTTCATGCCAGAGATTGTCAAAAGTTCAGAGGTTGAGTCGTGTTTTACATAAATATGTCAGCCTACTTCAAATATATTTTATGGAGGTCTAAGAGTTGTGGGTAGAGTTACACAAATGACACTAAATGCTGTAAATATTACTGGAGAAGTCATCTTTATCCAAACCACAGTGGAACTATACTTTTACAGAGAAGTACTGTCTGAAGGTCTATTTGCTTACTGTTTTGGGGGGGATCATTTAAGTGTGCACAAATGTATTTACAACAGTTGGTGTTGTTGGAGAATATGAGGAACACATGAAGGCAGGATTACTGATGGACTAGAAAAAGAAGCAGAGAAATCACTGAAATACCCTTCGATCATATGGCAGCTTTAGGAGAGAATTAGCTTTGCTACCCATAAAGCTAAAATGAAATACTCAGAATTACTAGAATAATCAAAGTCAAAGAATAATAAACCCATTTGCACTCACAGACATTGGGGCTGAAGTGTAAAACATCATGTCAAATGTGAACTGTTCAATTCTTTATAATTGTTCCATGCAGCTCTATGAAGAATTAGGCCACCCACCACCGAGGTTGCCTTTGAAGCTCAGCTGATATCCAGCAGCTCAGCTCTATCGATCAGACACATATGGCAGGGGCTTAACTTCTGTCACATGACTGCTTTTGTTTTGATTTTGTACTGAGGTCAGAGAGAATTGTAGTAAATAGTGTTTCTGAATGATCCTGTCTTGTGTAACACTGGTGTACACGGTATCATTGCTAAGATATTTGATCAGACGTGTGTTTAAAGTTTTACCCAGACCCCCACACAAGCCCCGCTTGTTTCCTCAGTGTCTCCATGTGGGTTTACTGAGTCACTGCATGACTAAGATTTTATGAGGTCCTCCCTGAGCTGTGCATCTCATAAAATACTTGCTGTGTTGAAAACATTGTTTAGTATGGTGAAAAAGGTCACAGCAAACCAGTGGCTATTAATAAACAGATTTATAGGTACAAATGACTCCTTAAAGTTGAATGATTCTTTATTGCAACTCTCATTGTGTGTATTAACTGGCTTTATTGTGACAACATAAACCAGCTGATGTAGCTGACATATTTAAATTGAAGTATTCAGCAAAAATGGACTTACATAACAGAATGGGTCCTCTTGGTGTTGTATGATTAAAATGTATTTTATTGGTCTATTATAACCAGTACTTTGCTGTTGTAGCTGGTGAAGGTGAAGCTATTATTAAGTGCTTTACAGTTTCATCATATTCTATAAACTGCACTTTTTTTATGTCAAACCTGAATCTGAAATTCGGGAGCTACAATATTTATATTTCTGTCAATTATATGTAGTGGAGTACAAAGTACATACAGAGTAAATATAGAGGAACTGAATGATATCGGCATGAAAAGCACTAATGTCTCCTTGGGCACAGTACTCGAGTAAACCTACTTAGTTACCACTAGAGTCATCATGTGCATCATTAAGGATGTGCCCTTAAGGACTACCACCATTAACACATTGTAGACACATTGTTAACTCCATAGCAAATGTCTTAGGCTACAATTAATGACACCTTACGTCAGGAATAACCTCTGTGCACTTACATGAGAGTAAAGATAAAACAGCTTCAAATTTCAGTTACAATATTTAAAACAACCTCAGTAGATAAAACGCCATTTGCTGCGATAAAGTAAGGCTTTTCCCAATTCCATGTTGTTTTACAATGTTAGAAATAAATGGACGTGCACGCTGAATAATCTGTTTCAATTTGATCAGTGCGTCCCAGACAGGTACTGTACGGGGCTTTCATTCTCACTAACAGCCCATAATAAATTAGCGCTCTTGTGGGTTAAACACACTTATATGTGACATTTACAAACGTATTAAAACGGACTTAAACTGCTAGTTTATGGTACTTACCGGCTACAGTACAACTTACCGGCTCTATTCCTCCGATGAACCCGCAGCAGACCCCTGACGTTCCGCAGATGAACATAAACTACTGCTGCTCAGTAAAACTGGGAGGAGGGTGCTGCAGCGTCACATGACGTCATCCCATCAGCAACTGGACCACTAGAACTATATGGTTATGAGTAGCATTCAGGTAGCCTAACTTCACTCCAGCCAACTTAAATATAAACATGCTTCTTACAGAGTCCATTATAAACCCTCCAGTAACATAATATAGGCTAACAATCACATAGGCCATTTTTTCTGCATAATGTCTTATTGAAAATAGCTACAAACAACATGATTAGCACAATACACATACAATTCCAAAAATGAAAGTAGCCTACTCGTTATGCAAAATAACACATTTTCAAAATAATTCATATTATAATCATTGGATTATAACTGATGTTTTAATATGTACATCATTTTCATGTTGCTGCTGGTAAAGGTCGAACAAATTTAAATTACTTAGCTGCTACTGAGTAGTTTGTGAATTTCCTCTGGGTATAATTTTTTTTTCTTATATTAACCTATAATAATATGTCATAATGTACGTGTTGATAGGCTGTGTTTTGTAATCTGAATCTGAAAAGTACTTGTAGTAGGCCTAACTAGCTGTCAGATATAGTGGAGTAAAAGTAGTAAACTCCAGTATTTCCCGCAGAAATGTACTGGGGTGGAAGTATAAAGTCTAATAAAATGGAAATGCCTCCAAACTGTACCTAACTACAGTATTTAGTAAGTGCGTTAGGTTTGTGATCAGTAGACGAGCAGCAGCTGTATTCATTCTCATTCTCTCTCTCTCCCTCCTATTTTTTTCATCTTTGTGCGAGTTGCGCGCGCAGCTGCCGCCATCTTTGACCCTCGGTTGGTGGACTGCTTTTAGCACTGGATTTCTAGCCTTTGCCACAAAGGTAGCGTTATTTTAATTTAGAAAGAGTTGCACAAACTGCTTTCTCCGAGTATGGCTAACCGAAACATACAAGCGAACACACAAAGCAGTAACTCCCCTCAACTGGCGAAATGCAGGACGGACTCCCCGTCCACGGAGCGGACACCGTCGAATAAAGATAGCCCAACGCCGCCGCCACGGCAGTCCCCCACGACCGATGAAGCGGACGGATCCGGTGAAGGAAGCGGCGAAGGCTCGGCAGGAATGACTCTGGATATTACGAATTTTCGGAAGCCCGGTGAGAAGACGTTCACCCAGCGCTCTCGTCTTTTTGTCGGGAGCCTCCCGGCGGATATTACAGAGGAGGATTTCAAAAACATGTTTGCTAAATATGGGAAAGCTAACGAGGTGTTCGTCAACGGAGACCGGGGCTTCGCCTTCATTCGCTTGGTATGAACAAAGTTCTGTCTTTTGACTTTAAATTGTAAGGTTAAACCAAAATCTTAATTCCCTTTGTTGTAAAGCATGTGGGATGAAACGTCATGGCTGGGTTGAGCTAGCTGTTATGTTAGCATTAGCACAAGGTTTTTGATTTGACACCCCATTTATATCATCTGTAAACGTTACAATAAAGATATAACACGTTTTGGTAGCTGTTGCTTTTCCCAGAATTACAGTAAGGTCCAGCACATGATTTAATACATCTGACGTTTCACGCACTTTTAAGTAGGGTATTTTCACAAGTGATTACTGAAATATATATTGCATTAGCTGCCACATAGCTTTAAATGAAGATGGCAGTTTTATTAGTCTACCTTGCAGCCCTAATGAATGCTGTTTTATGCCTCATTGGTGTGTCATCATTATTTTCCTTTTTATCCCTTATATTTCAGGAAACCCGGACGCTGGCAGAGATTGCTAAAGCTGAGCTGGATGGGACTATTTTGAATAATCGAGCACTCAAGGTTCGCTTTGCTGCACATGGGGCTGCACTCAAAGTCCGCAACCTGCTGCCTGCAGTGACAAATGAACTGCTGGAACAGGTATATTCTACAAGATCTTTAAATGAATCGTAATAAAATATCAGTGTAAGTCACAGTTTCAACAAGAATGGGATATTTGTGACAAATGAACTGCTGGAACAGGTATATTCTACAAGATTTTTAAATGAATTGTAATAAAATATCAGTGTAGGTTACAGTTTCAACAAGAATGGGATATTTGTTCATTTGACTTCCTGTCTCTGCTGCTATTTTAAATTGCTGACTTCTGTGGAGGGATTTTTATTCTGAAAACTATCTTGTATCCTCAGGCGTTTTCGCAGTTTGGGCCAGTGGAACGGGCTGTTGTTGTGACAGATGAACGTGGTCGTCCCACTGGGAGAGGCATTGTGGAGTTTGAATACAAAGCAGCTGCACGTAAAGCCCTGGAGCGTTGTACTGGGGGAGCACTGCTGCTTACCACGTAAGTAGTGTGGAGATGGAGGGGTTTAGAGGATAGACCTTGGAGATGGATCTTGGAAAATGAAGTAATGCAGTGTGTTGTTACATTGTGTTAGGGCTGGGCTATTCTTTCGATTTGTTCGATTAATTCGAATTTACGTTTTAAGGCGATTTTCTTTTTTCTTAAATTGAGGTATCGCGAATTTTAATTGTAATAAAAAAAAATAGATACATTGTCATTGCACCAGTGGCAGAATAATTAAGAGGCAATATTGTCCGACCACATGATGGCGCGCCTAATTAACCTCTTAGGTGGGAGAGCACTCTATGAAGGAACGTAATAGGCTATAGAAAAACATCATGGAGACGGGTGGCTCTTCACATCAAGATGACCTTGTACCAAAAAAAAAAGGTAGTAACATTTCCTCTGTGGTTTGGAAATGGTTCGGCTTTGAGGTCAGACATCGAACAAACTTTTGTCAAATGCAAAATATGCCGAAAGTCCGTTGCAACCGGCAGTGGCAGCACCACTAATTTATTCCAACATTTTAGACAAAGACACAAAGTAGAATGGGAAGAATGCTCAAAGTTAAGAGACGAAAACAAGCCAAGTGCAACGGGGCAACCTAAAATAGCAAAACGCCAGATGTCATTAGTGGCATCATTTTCCAATGCCACTCCATATGACAAAAAAGGTGCCCCGATGGCAAGAAATTACAGATGCTGTGGCGTTTCATATCGCTAAGGACATGGTTCCCATATACACCATCAAAAAGCCAGGGTTCATAAAAATGCTACGCACTGTTGATCTAAGATACACGTTGCCAAGCCGTAAATATTTCAAAGACGTAGCTATTCCTCGAATGTACACTGAAACATGTGAAAAAGTAGTGGAACAGCTTGATAAGGCATCTTTTTCTTCTACGACGACTGACCTGTGGAGTAGTCGTACTCCTCAGCCTTGCATGAGCCTCACAGCCCATTATGTTGATGCAGAATGGAAACTGCGAAGTGTTTGTCTTCAGACATGTTATTTTCCTGACGATCATACTGGGGAAGTAATTGGTCAAGGGCTTAAAGATGTGCTGGCTTCTTATCAAACATTTACTGTTAATAATGCTTCTGGTGTAAATGTGCTTAATTTTTGAGTTGACTAATTGGTTAAAATCATTGGTCATTGATTTAAAATGGTTATTTTCTTACTCTGTATTAAGAAGAATTCAATATTTACTTTCATATTTAATTCAGCTGCAAAGACATTTCATTAGACAATTTGTTTTACATTTATTTACACCTTGTTGACCAATTTATGTATGGCATGCACACTAAAATACAATGTTTCTTAAACTGATGGTTTTTCAAGTTACTTAAGAAGAGAATGTTACTTTTTTTTTTTTTTTTTTTTTTGCCTTGTCGCCCAGCCCTACATTGTGTATGAAAATTTGACCCAGCAAGTACCATATTGACTTGAATATAAGAATTTCTTTTCTGGAAATTGGTTTTACAAAAACATTCAAGGACTAGATAATTGATTGGAGAGACAGGTCTTGGAAACCAGGGTCATCTTATCCTTTGGGTCAATTCAGAAATGACAGACTAGGAAGGCCAGTGTTAGTTGTTCATTGAAGAGTTTGAAAGCTGGTTAGACACAGCAGTTTGTAATATTATGCAAGAAAATTTTACAGCTCCAAAAAGTTATCTTAATGGAAATCCTTGTAATTTTGTTACAGTCTTGACGTATCCATGAATTATGGTATTCACACTGCTTGCACATGTCTGAATGGCAGAATACTCTGCTTTTCTGAATGATATCGCATTCTCTTGTGGTAAAAGCTGAGCCAGATCTTATGTTTGGCCTGAGTCTTATTAACATGAATACATTTCTCTCACATGATGTTGTCATTTGTCTGAACATGGCCTTAAAGCTACAGTATGTAACTTAATGTAGCACTAGCATGGAATGCCAAATCAATCCACTCTGCTCCACTCAGCACTACCTCTCCCTACTATGCTCTACCCAGCTCTTCTGTTTGTCCATATTAATTAAGAATGCAACAAAATGTAATAATCAAGCAGAAATGATTGAACATCTCTGAATGATTAAAGAGGTCAATCCTGCTCAAAACCTTTACAAGTTAATATTTCTGCACTGCTGCCAGTGCTGTTCAATAAGTCTGGGCCACAGGAGGCTTCAACAGCACCTCTCCACATTGATGCAAATATTGGAGCATATTTGTACAAGTCGCTGGGCACGGTTTTGCAGGCTTCTGAAAATTAAAATGAGATTCTCAAAGTCTAACATTTAAATGATCATTACATTCTTGTAATATACAAAAGGTTTAACTTCATGTTGTATCCCCTTAATTCAGCACACCTTGTCCAGCCATTGTGGAGCCCTGTGAGCAATTGGATGCTGAAGATGGGCTTCCTGAAAAACTGCTGCCTAAGACTGCAAAGTACCATAAGTAAGTAGTGGTGATGTGTAGTCATCTTATAATGCAATGGCATGTATAGAGTTTTTGTTTTTTTAGTTCCCCCCATATATATTTTTGCTTTTTGCTAATACTTTGTTTTTACAACTCCACCATGCTCATGCACACTGTTTTGGTCAGGAGTATCCTGTTCAGTCTTGGCAAACCACAGTCCCAGTATAGTTTTGTACTTATCTTTTTCCTCTAGAGAACGAGAGCAGCCGCCACGTTTTGCTCAGCCGGGGACATTTGAATTTGAATACTCCTCTCGCTGGAAAGCCCTTGATGAGATGGAGAAGCAGCAGAGGGAACAGGTGGACAAGAACATTAAAGAGGCCAAAGAGAAACTGGAGTCTGAACTGGAGTCAGCTAAAAATGAACATCAGCTAATGTTAATGAGACAAGGTAGGTAGGACATCTTTGGTGTGCCACCTAATCCAAACTTGTCAAGCATAACTGAAGAGCAGAAGATAAGCCATTGTTTATCCTACCCTTGACATCACAAACAATTAGGAGAAAACACAATCCAGGGTTTTCCCGAGGTTTTCGGATGGCTTGAACACCATCTTTTTTTGGGCGGGGCTGGGTGGGGTAAAATTATTTGAAGGAATTTTAACTTGCAGTATGTTTATAACATTATTTACGTAACATCAACTAACTAGCTTCCTTGGCTAATGTACAGCAGCTTATCTAATTCAATATGTGCTAGCTACATAGGCAGTTTCTTTACTTGTAAACTAGGCTACATTCTGCTATCTCTATTGTCGTCATTGACAAGAATTACTCCCCAGCAAAGTAATAGCTACTTCATGTATTCTTTGTGGAGGTTAACCTTATCCATGGCTGTAACTACCGTCCTGAGTTGAGGGTACAGAGAAATGTCCAATTAGCTTGGTGATGCTGCCAGTCACACAAATGTTCATTGTTAGGTCATTCCTGTTGTCAGCTTACATTTCATTTTAAATCAAATCGCCTTTCGTTTATTCATCGCATGTTACTCACTGTTTGTTTTTACATTAATTCTGATTTTGCCTTTTCACATTCATTTGACTTGGGCACTCCATAGAAAACACTTAAGGCTGCTCATAAGCCTTTCTATGGCAGAGAAAACCTGTAAGCACAGTGTCATGGCAGTGTCTATGTAGCCCATGTTGCCCTGTTGGCTACCGTCTCATTCTCTGCACACTATGATGACTAGAGTAGAAAAGAAATGAATGATCCTTCCTGAAATGTAGTAAACCTGTCTGTAATAATAGCTACAATGCCTTATCAACTCTTCAGGTCAGGTGAATAGAACTGACTATTAGAAAATGAGTTTATATTGGCTTCTTAATACAGTTAAAGACTGCTCAGTTATAAACTGCTATAACTCATTCACATAGTTTTCATCCTCATCAGTGGTGTAACTGCTTGATACTGACTCAGTCCTTCTTACTTATGTTGTCTTCTCCCCTCTTGCAGACCTAATGAGACGTCAGGAGGAACTGAGGAGACTGGAGGAGCTTCGTAATCAGGAGCTGCAGAGAAGAAAGCAGATAGAGATGAGGTGTGTTTCTTTTAATTTTTTGAGGAAACCCTCAAGACTGAGCGAGTCAATTTTTAAATTTATTTAACCATTATTTTACCAGGAAGTCCCATTGAGATCACCATCTCTTTTTCAAGGGCGACCTGACCAAGATGGCAGCCATATAGAAATACAACACAATAAACAAAAATTGCATTCACAAGATAAAAACAACAGATTTTCAGGAGTTAACAGCTGCATGTCTCCTTCACCACATTGTTTATGATGTCCTTAAATTGTACAGTAGATATGCATGTGTGCAACTTTATATCTTTCTGCAAGTTATTCCATGACCAAGGTGCATAGTAGGAAAATGCAGATTCCCAATATCTGTAAAAATTGGAGGTACAATAAAAAGTAGTGTTGTGTAGTGCCAATTATTTTTAAATTTTTAGACACAAGAGTGATATTTTTTAGATATATCTATTCCTTTGTTTTTCTCTCTGTCTGTAGGCATAAAGAGGAGAGGAGGAGAAGGGAGGAGGAGATGATGAGACACAGAGAGCAGGAGGACCTGAGACGCCAACCGGATGGTTTCACACCAAACTACCTGGACAATGTGAGTACAGCTAAATTTACTGTACATGCAGGTAAACACACTACAGCACTGTTCTGTTTGCACTTTTGATAGATTTTATATTAACTTAATGCATCTGCAATCAAGAATTACACCAGTCACACTATAAACACATACACAACCTCTTTTGGTAATCACATTAGCACACATGGTTCTTTTAATACCTGCATAGAAATCAGGAGAGATGAAGAACGTATTAAAAATGTTTCTCTTGATGGACCAAAACATATCCCAGTAAATGGCGTACCTCAACAGCTTGGATAGTATGCATTTTGTATCAGGAGCTTCTTCGGGTTACTCTTCTTAACACTTGGGTGTTACAGTAGTCGTACTGCTTAAGTTATTCTTCCAGCAGAACATAAAACATTTTCACCCCCTTGGATGTTTTACCCTATTATTGGTTTAATAAATCAATCATGGTCAATATAGTTAGGCTTTTTTGACAAAAACAAAACCTTGTTAATCTCCAAGTGAAAATAGGTTTCTACAAAGTAATGTCAAATAAAAATATGTAATGGGGGAAATAAGTGTTTGCCTAAATATTCACGACCCTTTAAAATGACTGACCTAATTCAGAGGTCCAGCCAACTGGTGCTAATAGTCTCACAATTAGTGAAACAGGGATCATCAGAGTGCAGTGAATGTGTCTCAAGTGATTGTCAAAGCTTTATGGGAGAGCGGCAAAGAGAAAGCCACTGTTGAAGAAAACTCCTTAAATCTCGACTAGAGTTCACCAGAAGCCATGTGAGAGACTCCATGGTCAATTGGAAGAAAGTTTAAATGGTTTAAAGACAACAAGGTGAGTGTTCTGGAGTGGCAGAGTCAAAGCCCAGACCTCAATCCAATAGAGAATTTGTGCATCTACTAAATACTGACTTGAAGGGGGTGAAGATTTATGCAGTCAATTATTTCCCATTACGTACTTTTATTTAATTGACATTACTTTGTAGAAACCTGTTTTCACTTTGACATTAGAGTTTTTTTGTTTGGTTTTTTTGTTTTTTGTTTTTTTGGTCCGAAAAGCCAAATTATATTGACCACGATTGATTTATAAAATCAATAAAAGGATAAAATATCCAAGGGGATGAATACTTTTTATAGGCATTGTATGTTGGATCAGTTGATCAGAGCCCAGTTTTTCTTTAGTTTAGATTTTTTATGTAATGCCATATTCGATCAGCACCTGAACTAATTTATACACTTGTGCAGGGATATTTGTTTTCCTCATAGTTTTATAGCAGCTTTAGGAAATCCATATAGGCAATCCTTTACATTATATAATTTCTTTGTAATGACTTCTGTCTTTTTTTTTTTTAGCATTCCATTCATGTTGCAGATGCTTTTGTCCAAAGCTACTTACACTGAGTACATTGAAACCACATAAGAGCAAGTTCTAGATTTCAGCCAAATTTGAGACTAAATTCCTTTTAAACAAATGACTAAAAACATGTTTGGTGCTATAGTCTGAGAGATTTCTAATAGTTTTTAGCGAGATGTCTTAGCACTTGCAATGGTTGTTGTGAAACTGTGTGAAAAGGTTGGTTTGTAGCCTGCGATGGAGGCATTTTGACAGTTCAGCACTGTTGGGCATTAGGTCATACTGCACTGGACTGGATAAACACCGAAGCTAAACACAATTACTGGATAAACTATATCTTTTTTTTTTATTAATAAGCAATTTTGTTATTACTTTTAAGTCTAAAGAGAATAGTAAATTAATTGTAAGAACCACATATTTTCTTTCTTCATTTTGCTTCTTCTCATGATCCTTTTCTGTCACATACTTTCAAATTGAATATGCATATATTTAGTGACAAAATTTAGTTTTTCCACACTATCTGACACAGTGTAATGATGCTGGGATGATACTCTGCGTGCATTTTGGGTTAGCAGGTTATTCAGATTTAGACTTCTCCAGTTTCTTCTTAACTGTTCTATAAATGTAAAGTTGTAATGTAACCATGCATCTTTATAGAACAGCTATAATCATCACTATTTTACCCAGTACACATCTGTTCTCTCTGAGAACAAAAACAAAATAAAGACAGTAAAGATCCAATGCTTTGCCAATTCAAAGATATGATATGAAGATGAAAATGAAGAGTTTTGCATGTGCTGTGTGTTTTACCCCTGGTGTGGACTGTGTACTTATCAAGTGATCAAGTTTACCTATACGTACGAATTGTATGCTTTTCCACTTAAGAGTTGTTTAACTACATACTTTACATTAGCTTTCTTTGCTGTTATGAATAATATAAAATGTGTTATATGTACACAATAATCTAAAGTTTTGTATTCTAAACTATTTGATCACGACCATATCATTATGCTCTATGTATGTTTGTGTTCCTCAACATTTCTTATAAATCTGCTTGTGCTCTGCTGTGATTAGCCATGGGATTGTCTTTTTCCATGTTACACATAATTGTTTGACACGTAAGGGCTTTTGTAATTAAGTTTTCTGGTAGGGTTATAGTTTCAGAATGTGCAGCCTGCCTTTGATGCCATCTAGTGCACAGGTTTGCTACAGTTCATGCTTCACTGTTAGTTGCGATCACAAACAGATTTGAAACCGTCATTCACAGTGATTTCATAACAGTCGTAATGTTTCATCACATCTTTAGCATGTTTGCTTTGTTGCATCAATTACTACTCTTTTATTATAATTACAATATATTAACCATTTAACAGGTAAGTACATAAAAAAATACAAAGGTTCAGCATTATAGTAGTTATTTATTTTTGCACCAGCATTTTGGTAGGTGTCAGACCAATTCTACAGTCTCTGTATTGCTGCTGTTGGTGTAACTGACTTATTTTGGCACGCCATATGTGGAACACTGTACTGAATAGAATGAGTACTTTTAGAAGGGAGAGGTTGTACTGCAAAATGCAAGTCTTATGAGATTGACAGTAACATTTCAGCAGCAAATAATAATTTGTGATTATGCTGTGAAAATGTTTACACTGGTTAACATTTATATATTGACCAATTAATGATGGTTTGTTTTCATAAAACACTTACAGTGGGTACGGAAAGTATTCAGACCCCCTTAAATTTTTCACTCTTTGTTATATTGCAGCCATATGCTAAAATCATTTAAGTTCATTTTTTTCCTCATTAATGTACACACAGCACCACATATTGACAGAAAAACACAGAATTTTTGACATTTTTGCAGATTTATTAAAAAAGAAAAACTGAAATATCACATGGTCATAAGTATTCAGACCCTTTGCTGTGACACTCATATATTTAACTTAGGCTCTGTCCATTTCATCTGATCATCCCTGAGATGGTTCTACTCCTTCATTTGAGTCCAGCTGTGTTTGATTATACTGATTGGACGTGATTAGGAAAGCCACACACCTGTCTATATAAGACCCTACAGCTCACAGTGCATGTCAGAGCAAATGAGAATCATGAGGTCAAAGGAACTGCCTGAAGAGCTCAGAGACAGAATTGTGGCAAGGCACAGATCTGGGAGAAGGTTTTTGTCCAGGATATCCCTGTACTTGGCCGCATTCATCCTTCCCTCGATTGCAACCAGTCGTCCTGTCCCTGCAGCTGAAAAACACCCCCATAGCATGATGCTGCCACCACCATGCTTCACTGTTGGGACTGTATTGGACAGGAGATGAGCAGTGCCTGGTTTTCTCCACACATACCACTGAGAATTAAGGCCAAAAAGTTCTATCTTGGTCTCATCAGACCAGAGAATCTTATTTCTCACCATCTTGGAGTCCTTCAGGTGTTTTTTTAGCAAACTCCATGTGGGCTTTCATGTGTCTTGCACTGAGGAGAGGCTTCCATCAGTGTGGCCGGACGGCCAGCTGTAGGAAGGATTCTGGTCGTCCCAAACATCTTCCATTTTAGGATTATGGAGGGCA